TGGGTCACAGCTGGCCCTGCAGAGCTTCCAGCCTCCAGCAGCTGGGAGCTGCACTGCCCGCACATCAGCGGACTCTCTGAGATGCTTCGTTTCTGTTTGATTCTTAATTATTATAATAGTTAAGGTAATTAACATGCTTTAGTGATTTACTTCATTTAATTGGATGTAGTGATTAAAATACCTTTTATATTACCTTCACTGCAGTTTTAATTTAAGATTATAATCTCATGGTCCTTTTCAGCTCCTCATGCTTTCACTTATAGCCTTTTCCTTTTCTGATTTTTCGTTGTTTGTTCAGCTTTCCTGCTGATTCAGTAAACATACTGCTGGGATGATTCCTTGGGAAACCTGCCTATGGTTATAAATTCTTTCATTTAGGGCAGACGCTAATGAATTAAAAAAATAATAATTTGAAAGTGATGCATGAGAATGTAGTCAGCCTTTGGAGTTGTCTGCTGCTTTTTGCAGTCTTTTTTTAGCATTTAAAAAAATAATAATTGTTTCCTTGATTGGGCTTGGAGAGGATGCATGAAAGAAGGAAATGGAAAATGACAGTGTTACTATCCTCCTAGCGTGTGTCGTGCCTTACCTGGGCGGATGGATGATGTATGGGTTAGGATTTTAGTATTACTATGCAGGGTGTGAAATTTTGGTATCACCACCCAGTGTAGGAATTGCTCTGGGAAGGGCAATGGGCTCTGAGCCATTGGGATGAGCAAGGAGGGCTGTGGTGCTGGAGCAAGCTCAATGCCAGCCTTGTGCATGACACCTGGGTCACTGCTGTACCCCATGCATGCAGTGGGGGAGAGTGGCACTGCCAAGCACGAGGCATGTAATATGTGCCCTAAAGCAGTCAAACTGTTGGTATGAGTGCAAAAGATATTAATAAATCATTGGTTGTTTAAATGGAATCATTTAGGGCTCATCTGGCTAATGAGGAAGAAAAAGCTGAACAGAACACTTCCTTTCAGTTTTACGGAGACGTATGAGATCAGCTGTTCATGGGAAGCTATCAGTGTACATACCTCGTTAGCTCCCTTGTGTAACATTCCTTATCTACGTCTTATTAGTCTTTCATTAATTAAAGCTACAGAATTCAACATTTTCTGTTAGCTGTGCTCTCAGCGTGAAATTTAGCTAATTCTTCTACTATTGGAAACAAAGCTCAAAGATTGAAGTTTATTCTCATTGTGTTCTTACAGTTATTTATTTCATATTGCTGTCATGCATGGATGAATTTATATGATGCTCTGATGACCTTTAGAAATTCTTCTGATTAAATGCTGTTCTACTTCATTATGACATTCCTGTACTTGTACTACCAGATTTGATGTGTACAGCTTAATAACACAACTAGACATGAATGCTAATAACTTTACAATTAATTGCATTGCTATTTTTTAACGTAGATGAAATTTAAAGCAAGTTCCTCTTGCTGCAGGCTTACATGAATCATAGAAATTGGAAGGTAACAAAAGAACATATTAGCATTTGTTAGCCTGGATGCACAAATTTTGTAGTAACCATTTTAATATGTACTACAACTTTTCAGCCTCAAGTTTAATATGCACTACAACTTTTCACCCTCGATTTTTCAACCAACGTCATAATTGAATTGGTTCTTTCTTGCCTAAGGATAATGATTTTACCCTGATGGAATCTTTATTAGATTTTAAGGATTATACTGATGTTGCGTATTTTACATAAAGAGAATCACAGTTATTCAACTGTAAAGTACTTTTACACAAAGGCCACTGTAAGTCTGAGATATATGAACTAATTATAATGTTTAGACTTGTTGTTAAGACCCAGCATCCACAGCTGGAGCCAACACAATTGAGGAGCTTGTGTGTGCACTTCAAGGACCCAGCCCAGGACGGCAGGGAGTGCGGGCAGGCCCTGTCCTGGCAGAGATCTGGTTGTTGGTTCTGGTTGGGCTCGCTGTGTTTCATCTGGCTGAGAGCAGATGAGATCCATCTCATGTCTTGCCCAGCACTGCTTTGCTGTTCTTGTGGGGGGAAAAGATGGCCCAGTTTGACCAGAAATGGTGTTTTTCTATTAGCCTGACAGCCGTCAGCATTGCATTGGTAATTAGACTTTAGACTGCAGAAATAACTGTTGTGTTAATTGATTTTGTGGTTACTTCCTTGTGTGCTGCGTGCGTGCTGGTTGGAGTGGATGTTTGGGAATAGCATCTTCAGAAGTCCCACTGATAAAAGGTGTGCAATGTGTCTGCAGCCTCTAAAGAGATGAAAGGGGAAGAAAAATTGCAAAAAATATTTAATATCTTTATACTTATTAAATATAGATGTGTCTGCAAATGAAATTAAGCAAGCAGTCATTCTAACTTTCTTACAGTTGGAGGTTAACCTCAGTTAAATATACCTTTAAAAATCAAGTTTGTTTGTTTTTTTTTAAGTATCCACTTAAGATCATTTTAAATCCTAGTTGAGAGACCAGTTAGCATAACTCCATGGACTGCTCTTCTGTGTGTTGTGTTTTTATTTTTTTAAACCTTCATGCTTCATTACTGAGGATGGATATCACTTCTATGCTCATAAAACATGATTGCTTTCCCATCCTTATGCATCAGCCAGTTTTATTCAGTACAGAAAACAAGAGTAAGAACCAGCACCGATGGTAAACGTGTGCTTACTCAACTAACTGTAAATAGAGTGATCAATATATGAAATCAAATGTTATGTCCGTGTTGCGTTAAGATGGTTATCAAACTGCTGTGCTTCTTGGCTCCTTGGTATGCCTCAAGGTACAGCACACCACTCCAGTTACATGTGGTTCAGTAGTTTCTTTAAATTGAGATGTAAACGTGTATTCAAGGGGAAAAAAAAAGTATAGAAAAGAGCAGACCTAAAGCTAATAGAGCTGCATTGAATTCATCTCAAACACATGTTAAATTTTCCTGACACCGTTACCCTTTCCTTTGGAGGCTTCAGAGTGTTCTTGGCTAATAATAAAAATAAGAGAAATGCGTAAAATCAAACCAAGGAAACTCATTTGCCCATCTGCTTTCAAGCTTTTCCTCTTTGTCCTGGATATCTGTAGCAAAGGAGACAAAATCCCATCAAGCATTCTTTTAAGCTTTGCACACTTGTTTATACTATTTGCTATACTTGAGCTTCTGCCTTTAACAACAAAGGAAAATAATTAAGGTGCTGATAGTAAAGTTAAATGAAGACTGTAGCAAGAGACAAGATCTGTGGATTGCCACCCAGGCTCTGAGACTCTTCTATTGAGCAGCCCATGCTAAATTGTTTAAGCTGCTGATTCCCTGTCTGTAAAGTGAGGGCACTGAAGCTTATCCTCCTCAATGCTGGTCAGCATTTGTCTACTCAGCGTTTGTCTGCTTATGTGGATGCACTGATGTTGAGATGCTTCATGTTACAGCTCATCAGGGACTGGACTGTGAGGCATCTGCTGTGGCTCTGTCACAAGAGGTGGGGAGTGGGGCTGCAGAGCAGCTTTGTGTTGGTTTTGGGGATCAGACACAACTGGCAAGTTGCTGCAGGCTGCCATGTGCATGACGTTACAGGGCTGCTGTCAGAGGCAGAACAGCGTACAGACATGCCTTCCTCAGTTGCTAGCCCCTGTGGTGAGTTCATCTCAGTTCTCAACACGTTTGATGGAGAGTTGACTTGTGAGATGGAAGAGGGGGGCTGGTGCTTCAGCAGTGCCCATCCCACAGCTGTGTGCTTGGGCAGAACTGGCACGCAGGGCTCTCACAGCAGTGCCTGTAGGAAATGCATCCTTGTGCTCTCTGTCTGCCAGGCCCCATCGTGCCTGCAATGATATTGAAGCATCCTGGGAGGCTTCGTGGTCTCTGTCTCTTCAAATAAGTGGAGCAAGGAATTGTGATAATCAAAAGACGGTGAGAAGAGAATGGTTTATTCTTCTGTTGCTTCTTTCTACAGCACCATTTTGTTTGGGTGCAATTGTTAACACTGACAAGTGTATTTTACAGTTTGTGAAGGTGTGTTAGGCTGAGATGGTGCAGTGTTTTTTCATGTTTAGTGCGCACAGTTTAGATGGCATGCATTAATCATATTCCTTTTGCCTTTGTTATGTTAATGGGAGAAATAAACTCTTGGTTTTCTTTTATTAAAAAAAAAAAAAGGGAAATGAGTAAGATTTATTAAGATGCATTATATATCAGCAGCTAATGAAGAGGAAATAATGATGACTCTGCACTGTAATACGTATTAGAGCACTAATTAGACTACAGCAGAACTGCTCACAGATGTCTTTTAAACACCTGCTTGATAATGGTCAGCCCATGCATTACTGCACGTGGCAGGGCACACCTGCACACAGACACACAGTGCACATCAGCCTTATCTTCTGTCTGTGTTCATCCATGCTCACATGAGTTAGGAAGGGCAGTGAACAGCCCTCGTGGTGGCTGGGCTGAGCCTGTGGTCCCCATTGCCTGCTGCAGAGAAAGGCAGAGGAGACTGATACGGGTTTTTTCCAACTTTTTGACCCTGTAAAGTCATTGTGTTTTCCAGGCAAGACTTTCTGATCCATACAGTTGTCCTGCATGTTTGTTAAGCCAGAATTTTCTGTACTGCATCTCCAACATTTGTTAATTATTTATTTTTGTTCAGCTGTTTTTGAGACCATTGACAGCTGTACGTGTAGGAATAGCGTTGCCCTTCCTTTCTAAAGTCCCCTTCTTTAACTGGAGTATCAAACAGCAAATATTTCCCATCTACCTCTTACTTGCCTTTACATTTTTGAATGTTATGTGTAAATAACTGAGTTTTAAACGTGGATAACGCGTAACCCTCATCCATCTGGCCACAGGTTACAAACAATGTTCCTTCTGTTCTATATGGAGATGCGAGCATCACATACTACCTACCTTGCAGCCTCTTGCTCAAGCTCGTGTTGCTCATGTTAGGGCCTTTGCCAATGGCAGTGACTCTTATATTCCCCAAATACTGACACTGGGATGTATCACCTCTTTTCCCTCCCTTCCAAAGGCACTCTGCTCTGCCCCAGGCTGTGCTGCTGGCAAGTTGCAGGACACGGAGCTGTGCTGGAGAGCCTGAGCTGCCCCAGTGAGCGTACCAAAGGTGAGAACTCATTCAAAGCCTTTTTTTCTTATCTTGACCATGAACATTTTTAACAGATGTACTAACTCCTGAGATAGTTAATTGATTAAATCCCACATGACCACATTTCTCATAAAATAATGGGCTTAAAAGTAATATGTAATATTTCCATTCTATAGGTGTTATGTTTTTGTCTCTACTTCAAAATTTTTTATACAGGCTGCAATTTTATATAACTCCATTTCAGCCGTTGTGAGCTACAAATGTTTCTGTGCTGTACGTAAAATAATTTTTGACTTGCACACAGGGATGCTGCTGCTTTATGTAACTTTTGCTCTGCACCCTAAAGGTAGCAGTAACACTCGGGAAATTTAATGCAGCAATCACAGAGGGATATAGCTGGGAAGGGAGGAATGCTAGGGAAGTCTGGCCATGCCCATCAGCACTGTTTTTCTCCTGTTAAGTACCAGACTGGTACCAGCTCTATGGTCAGCCCAAGGACCAGGTGATGCCAAGGGGTGCAAAGCAGCACTGGATGTTGTAAGGCAGCATGATAGATGGATGTGGATTTATTGAAAGGAAGGAGGGAAAGGAGGATCCCTTTTCCTGTTCCTCTCTTCCTCTTAGCATGTGGGCTGGTCCTGAGCATAATCTTGTGCTGTGTGGGAGAAGTGGGCTTTACCTAGTTACAAACAACAGCTATAAAGAAGCCAAACTCCAGGCAGTTTAGTTGCATTCTTCATTAGGATAAGTAGTGGTCTCAGCACACCAGATGCCTCAACAGTGTCAGCTTTTTGTTAAGCCAATAGAGCAAAGCAGGAATGCACTCGTGCGAGGGAATTGGGGCCAGAAGCTGAGTCTTCTAGAACCCCAGGTGGATACTCTGCCTTGCTGAGTTTTGGAAAAGCAAGCCTGGGTTGGTGGCACCGGCTGTACACCTGCCAGCTGCTGCTGTCAGACCTGAGCTCACCCCCTAACGATGTGCTGAGCCAGCGCATCTGGGATTTTTGAGCAAGCCAAACCAGTCTTCAACAGGATATTCTTCAGAGGTCAGGCACTTTCCTCCACTTATGGGAGAAACTGTCTCTATGTCATGAGAAGAAGAGGGAGGGGAAGGAAGGCATCTAGAAACAGGTTGAGTCTCTCTGGGTGCTGCTGTGCTGGAAGCCCAGCTGTTTGGTGCCTCTGCTCACAGCACTGCTACCTGTCACTGGTATGTGGCAGCAGAGCTGTTCCTACTCCATCTGCCCTCTGCCTTGTGGCCTTAAGATTCACAATCCGGTGTCAGAGGAGATGAGGCCTCATGTGATATCAATGAACTGCAGAAATAACCTCTGCAGGGATTCCTTAAATCACCCCTCAGGGCCCTTCCCTGCAGGCTCCCCAGTGCGTGGCAGGTGACTGAAGATGTTAGCTTCTGCTTGCTTAGTGCTGTTTAATTGCCAATCTATATCAGCAGTATAATTAGGCATAAGCCATATCAATTTAATCACAAACCCTAAACAAACTAATGCTCATTCAAGTCCTGTGCATATTGACAGGCTAAAGCAAACCCTCAGCTCTTATCCATTCTGCACACAGATAATTTTTCTGCCAGCATCTTCTGCATCAGAAAGTCAATAACTGAGACCAACGTTTGTGTCAATAAATCCAGCACGCAGTCTGCCCCTTTCCTGAAGGCTCACGCACTGCTGCATCACTGCTTCTCACTGGGGAGCTGACAAGGGTTGTAACCTCATTCTTTCTCTTCCTCTTCACCTTCTCCAGGCTGCTGAAGGAAGTGGAATTCTGGGCAGTTTGGAGATGTTGAGAAGCACCTTGCAATGCTCAACAATTCCTGAGCAGCCTGCTGAAAAGTAAGTGGAAAATTGAGTTGAAGTATCTCCAATTTCCTCCAAAGTCCTACGGGGCTTTTGTTTTGTGAAAGGGACAGTGGGATTTGTTCAGTTGCTTATCACTCATGCTGCCTTTATATGGCTGAAAAGGCTCAGCTGTCGTAGCTCTGACACGTGTTGAAGCCCTTATTGAGGGTAGCAGTATCAGAGCTCTGTGCCTCACACAACACCCCGGTGTGCTGGGGCCACTGCTCACTGCAGCAGGGCACAACCCAGCACAGCTCAGCACAGTGCTGTGCTCCCAGGGAGAGCTGAGCCGTGCTGCTCCGTGCAAATGCTGCAAACATGCACGACCTTTAAATTCAGGCTGAAATGAAAAGATCTGCTGCTAACTAAAAGTCTGGGGTTGCTTTCAGATGTCTGAGTATTCAGAGAATAGATGTAGCTTAAAATGCAAATGTGGTGCTTTCTGCAGAGCATCTCTGCTTTTCAAGATCCCTCGTTTCACGCTGTTACATCACACTGCCCTGCTGCTTCCATGAAAGGAGCCTCTCTGAGGAAGATTCCCACAGAAATCCAACTGATGTGGTTAAAAAAACCCAAAACATGTATTTTAATTTCTAAAATGCATGATGCCCATCTGAAATTTGGCATTCAGCATCTTATCTGGTGTGTAGAATACAGCCAACCGCTGGTTTTCTGGGCACGCATCTTATACAGTGGTCTTCATCCATGTGAGCAAGTAGATCCTGAAGTTTTCCCATGGATCCTGAAGTTTTCACTGTAGGATTTCCTTCTGAGAGCAATGATGCTCCAGGGCCTCTTGGCATCTCTGTGTGTAAGTTCCATGCTCATGCAACGTTAGGTGTCCTGCACATGAAGAGAATCAGGCCCAAATGCTTTTATTTACATCACTAATGAGAAATGTCTGCAGTGCCCAAGAGGAGCAGCTGCCTGGTGAGTCTGTTCCCTGGAGGTTACACATGTTCCTGTGATGCACCACTGGTCCTGCAACAGTGTTTGCTTGGCACTTGTTGGGGCTTCCTGGACATTGTCATCCTGTCTTTACAGCAATGTATGATGTGTTATTGATGGGTGAAATACAGAAAAGGTTTGACATTTCTCTGATATCTTGCATTTTTATTCTCTAACAATTTCAAGTATTTCCAATTCTGTGCCACTACTATTCAACATTTTAAGCACATAGTTCCTAGCAGTGTCAGCTTGTATTTTAAGCTTGTCTGGTTATTTTGACAACGTGAGGCATCATAAGTGATGTAAGCTGTTTCTCTCCTTAGAAGCAGGACCCAGCCCTGTGCTGCCCAGATAAGAGCAGCGAGACAGAAGCTGCTTTAGAAGCAGCAGGATGCGTTTGACTGCACTTCAGCTGCTCTGTATCCAGAGAATAGAGCAGGCAGCACTTTGGAAATGAACTGAGGCTACGTTAGAATGGGGGGAAAAAATCAGATCCAAGTCCTGCTGTAGTCTGAGACTCCTCAGAGATTTGGAGAAGTGCAGTTTGCAGCAATTTAGCCTTGAAATTGTGGTTGTGACCGTGCTGTGTGTGTGACAGAGCCTCATCAGCACATCGTTAGCTTTCAGCTTTCACTCAGATATGGAGCTGGGAGCTCAGGTGCTTGTGGGCAGCAGTGGGAGCAAAGGAGGGCTCTGATCTGTGGGACTTCAGGACAATCAGAGAGATCAGCCAGGGGAGGGAACTGAACCTGCCCTGTGCTTAATGGGATGGGCATCCAGTGATGCAGGTCAGTGTCCACAAGCAGCAGCACCTTGGTTCTTACCTGAACTCAAAAAAAAATATGAATTCTGCTATTTTCTTGAAGGAAAGACAGTGAGGACCCTAGAAAGACCCCTGAGATGTTTCTCCGTTCTCATTTTTTGGTGCTGAGAAACTCTGCCCCGCTCCTTGTCTCAGCTTTTCTCAGATTTGTGTTCCTAAAGCATGTGTCAGCCACTGCCTCCTGATCCTTTGGTCACCATTTTCATAGATGTGATCATTAAGAGCTATAACTGATAATCTTGAGGGCTGGCAGCTGTTATCAATGATAGATGGCCTCTTCTGGGAAACCTCTGGCTCTGATAACTCCAAAATATGATATAAGCCTCATCTTTTCAAAAAAGCCTTTACCAGATGGGTCTAAATTAAAGCATGGCCCTTCCCATTGCTTTATAGATGATAGCTAATTAGCTGCAGAATAGATAGCTTTGCTCCTGCAGAAGTGGAGCAGGCAGAAGTGGGTGTTTGATATTGAAGCATTTCTGTGTTTGCTTTCAGTGCATCTGTAAGGACAGATGATGAAGTCATTAGAATAAATATCAATACATGTATTGAACTTTCTATTATTCTGGATTTACCAGAGTTGGCTAAAAAGAGGACAGTTCCTGAGAAACATTTCATTTTTAGCATAGTTCTGCAATAGATCAACTCCAGATCAATTTGTACGTTTTGTCATCAGTCCTATTAGTAGACTGCTGCCAAAATTTGCAATCACAGTTGAGGAGCTGACATTTGAACCTTTAACTTATTCAGGAGGGCTCCTCATGATGATCCTTGGTTTCCAGCTCTGAGGAAAGCATTAGCCCCAGGCTGCAGTAGGATTCTGTGTCCTCTTTTCCTCCTGTGTGTGAAAATGACTCCAAGAGATTGTTCTCCTTCAGGCAGGAAATCCTGAAAATGCTGAGCTTTTCACTTCAATGCCTCGCAAGCAGTGCTGATTCGATTGCCAGTCTTGTTTCCTCCTGCAGTAGCTATAAAAGTCTCCTCCCCCCATCCCAAATCAAATTTAAAATGGCCTATTTTAATATGCTTCTCTTAAGCGTGTCTACATGCTAGATATGAAGAGTTTGAGCTTATCTTGTGTTATGTAAATACTTCTGTGCTTCCAGATTAAAGGCTTTTTCCCCCTTTGATCCAGACTTGTAGCCAGTTCAACTTTCAGCAGGAGTCAGAAGAGGTTTGTGGAGTTTGGCAATGAGGAAGACTGGAGAAAGAAAACTCAAAATCACCGCTATGAACAGCTCTTTAAACATGAATGGCTAACTGAAGGAAGTCTTGCGGTGAGCAAATTTTTGCTTGAAATAGTTTGGGACCAAGTGTGAAAACAGCACTGCCACATTCATATGTAGCATGATGGTGGAAGCAGCCCCTCTGCTGCAGCCTGGGGTGGTCGTGTCCCATGCTCCCACCGATGGCCCCGTGCTGCAGGCCAGGCCCTGGGCACACAGGTGTTGCCCTGTGAGTGAAAGGAGCCACGGCTGTCCTGTTTGTGGGGATCCCATGAAAAACTTGTGCTAGCTTTTCTGGAAACTCAAGCGCAAGTGAAACTTGGCTGAGATTTGTTCTTCTTTGCTATTTCCCTCAGTTGGAAGAGTGGATGAGAGAAACTCGGATCAGGTCCCCAGCACTGGATACTGTGGTTGCTTGAAAATAATTTATTAATAGTATTTATATTTCATGTTTCCAAGGCAACACGAAAGCTCAGGACATTGGTTTTCCATACATGAGCAGAAGGTTTTGGCTGCAGAAGTGTTTTCTCTGTCTCACTGATACTGCTATCAAGGCACTGAAAGCTGTGCTTTCTCTCGTCGTAGTCAGTTTCTCTCCAATATCCATAAAACGATGAAAGTCAGATAGATGCAGCTGATGAAATAATCTGTTCTTGCTGCAGAACTCGTTCAATCACCAGAGAGCTCCAGTGTTCAAATAGATAAATTAGTGTTGTGACAACGGTAACTTTAAATGCCTCAGTTTGGTGGCAATGTTAGGAAATGAGACAAAAACTAAATTACTCGTCTGCTTTAACTGTGGCCCTTCTTGGATTGCTGATGAGAGAGATTCTTGTTAAACAGACGTCCTTTTGGATAGAGTCCTTTACAAGTCCTCCCTTGAGAAAATGATTTAGTGTTTGTATTATATAAGACATGAAAGAGAGGGCTTTCCCTCATTTTCTTTGCCTCGTTTCCTTTTATGACTTCAGCTGATGGAACAGGTCACTGCTCGTGTTCCAGCACAGAAAGATCCCCAAAACAGAAATCATTGGAGAGAGCAGTGGCACCAAAGGCCTCTCTGCCTGCTCCATTAATGGCACAGCGGGCACACCCAGGTGCTTTGGTCTCAATGGAGAATTCACTTTCCTTGGAGATGGCAAAAATCAATCCATGCTCCCACTGAGAGCTGCAGAGCAGCTGGTGCACGGTGCCTGAAATAAACCCACTTGTGTGCTGGAAGCACTGTGTGGCTGTGCAGAGCTGGGCCCTGCAGCAGAGCAGGGCAGCTGCTGAGGTTTCCACTTCCCAAACCGGGGAGGATGTGACCCCTCTGGAAGGGGCTCTTTGCTGATGGATGGCTCTGGTTTGTCCCCCCCCTTACTAGGAACTGCTTTGACTTTGTCATCAGCTGAAAGCGAACATCTTGAGGTTGCATCCTCTCCATAGGCTAATGGGATGTTTTTTATTCTTCCTTTTTCAGCACTTGCAGTGCCGTGATGTTCTGCCATCCGAAGGGGAATTAATCGCTGAGTAGCATGAAGACTGCACAGCACAGACAACAGGCATGGTCCAGCCTCAGGGGACTAATTATGTTCTTAAAGGGTAAGAAAATAATCTGAGGTGCACTGGAAAGAAAGAGTCTTAGTAATGCTCCGTAATGCTCATGTTCCCAGAGCTACTGACATATCTCCATACCTCCAATATTTGTCCATTATAACATAGAGATGTTCAAAGATACAAAGATACTTATTGACCTAAAAAAATATCAGCAAGAAGCTCAAGAGAATATATTAAATGTATAAACTTGTTTGACTTATAAGGAGTGTCGTGGCATACACTGTAATATGACAGTGAATGAGAGTGAGTGTAAGCTAATGGTGGAGGGAACCCAGGAAAGGTACAGTGAAGAGGAAAGATATTTGAATCTGCTTATGGAAATAGCAGGGTTTGGGGTAGGAGATCAGTTCCGTGCACCTGATGCATCACAGGACAAGTCGGAGTTCAGGCAGTATGTAGCCACTGTCAGGAAGAGGAAAACATGACACCAGATCCAAAACTGGTGGCAGGCTGTGGTTATCCCCTACTCCAGCTGTCTGCGAGTGTTGTAGGTGACCTACAAGGAGATCTCCCAGAGATCACTGTATTTTTCTGTCACAAGTGAGACACTGCTGCTCTCAGCTCATGCTGTGTTAGGAGCAGCTCCCAGCAGAATCCCTGCTGAGTTGGCAGCTGGTGGCTGCTCAGGAGACCAGAGCGTGGCCTGGAGGGGACATTGTCTGCCAAGGGCATGGTGGGGACGTGCTGGGCTTTGGGAGGGCTGCCAAACAGTGCCCGTGTGCATCTCCTTGTCCTGCAGCCAGCACTGTCTGATGGTGTGATTCCAACCAATCCCATGGACAGCAGCGAGACTTCCATGTGCAGCCAAATGCCTTGGCTGGCTGCAGGAAGGACTTCCAAGCTGAAGGTGAGACATTAACAGCACTTCTGAAATGCTAACAGCTCCCACAGGTGAAGGGCACCAGCTCAGCTGGGTGCAGGCAGCTTCCCTTCTTGCTGGGGCCGTTGAAACAGGTTTGAGCTTGGGGAAAGATAGATGCCCATACCTTCCTTACAGGCTGCCCATCCTGCTTCCCAGTAAGACCTCAGCTGTGTGTGTACCAGGAAAGCAAATAAGAAAGGTCTTCACCAAAAAGCTCTGAGAATGTAAAACTGGTACCTGGAGATACAGGTAAGTGGCATACTTTTTTCCTCCCCCATTTTGTAGCTTGCAGTATATACGCATCAGATTTAAAGGCAAGTAGTGTCTCTCTGTATCAAACAGGCTTGATGAAAGAACAATCATGTACATTCAGTTATATCTCTGCTAAACGTATCCATTTTTATTGCTTTCCAGTAGTTCAAAGCATTAGCATAAAACAATCAAGGAGGCTGTTTTTCCTAAGAGAGAGAGTGCCTGTTTACAAACTCATTTTATTTTCACAATACTCCATTGTTATTTATTTCAGACAGAAAGCTGTCAGATTAATGCATTCCCTCATGCAGGACAGCTTGCTTTATTGCCCGTTATTAAGATATAACATATATAACCTGACAAGCACTGCCCACGTCTGCAATCCACCAGTGAAAGGCAAATTAAGTAGAAAATGGAGATCTCCAATATTTCTTGGGGCCCAAGTGATATTAATTTTAACTCATTTTGTATTCAGGGGGGATTCTGCCTGTTCACAACATATCTGACAGCGTAAACTGCCCAAAGAAGGCTTTTTTGATTCACAGAACAGCTACATCTGAGAAACTGCTGTCAGAGTCACAGGAGTCAACTCCCTTTGCATAAATGTGTGCCAACAAAGAAAGAAAAAAAAAACCAACAACCCGACAAATTAGTTGGATGGTGCAAGAAACCAGTTAGAAAGGTGAGTAACTGAGATGAGTAAACAACCCAACAAATAATCCTTATGGCCTCAAGGCTCCAAACCCCAGTGCTCATGCTGTCCCAAATGAAAGTGGTCACAGCTGCTGGAGGATACGAGGCACAGCTGGTAACACCTTAAGCTAAGTTGGTCCCTTTTCTGTGGTGCATGTATTCAAGCTAATGGCAAGACATCTGTATTCTTCCTCCTTTTCACAACAGTTTGTTTTCCAAAATATCCCACACGGTCCTTCTCACAGCATCTGCTTGAAAGCCTCCAGTGAGCCTCGATGTTGCACTAGGACTGCTAGTAAGCTTGGTGCAAGGTCCCAGCACTGCAAACCTCACCTCATCCAAGTGATGTTATTCATGTTTTTTCATTATTGCTTAATATCTGATTTTTTTTTCTTCAGGATTGAATTCCTGAACTTGCTGAGTGACAGAAACTGCTCTGGAGAAGTCAACAAGAGGTAGGCTGGCTTTGGGAACTCATGTTATCTCTTAATGACTCTTTATGTTTTCCTTCAATATTTTCCCAGTAATTACTTTTTTTTTCCTGACTCTCCCTGGAGTATTAAAGTCAGTCTTATTATCACAATTAAATATTAACTGAACTGAAATGAGATTAGGAACAGAGGTCATCTTAAAGGAAGGCTAATGTGAATACAGGATGAAATACAGAGCAAGGCCATGTGTCTAGCTACAGTGATCTGGAAAAGAAACCATGCTTTACTCAAGAAAAATGGTTTTGGTCTTGTTTATAAGTGTATATGCAATAGCCATGTTGGGATTATTATTAGTCCTTATTGCAGCATCTGGATCAGCTCCTTTCATGTAGGTTAGGTGATAGCCAGGTATTCATGCTTTGGAAGCTTAAAATATGGTTTCTGCTCTGCTCATGTTCCTACTGAGCGGGTTTTAGTGCTAGAAAGTCACCAGCTTTATGGGAAACTGCAGTATGTGACAAATAGGCAATTTGCAGGGGAAAAAGCACCATGCAATTTAATGATAAATAGTGATACACTAAATAAATTATTTAAAAGAACCAACTCTTCTTTAATATAATTACATTCTATTTCATTTCTGAGGAGAGGAAGCAGCCTAGTTGGGTAGACAGGAAACCAAGCCAAGGAAAGTGAGGTGGGTTTTCATCTGTCAGGATGCAGAACTATGGGGCAGAGGCAGAGCTCAGCAGCTGTAGCCCTTACTCCTCCTCTCCCTCTGGCCTTCCTTTCTGTAGAGACAGGCCTGGGTATACAGGTGAGGATTTTAATGGCAGCAGAACTGCTGAGAAGGAAACCGCTCCTGTCCTGCCATGAAGCATCAGGAAGCAGAAATGTTCTGAGGAGCACAGACAAGGATTTTAGTTGCAGTGAATCCCCATGTGCAAGTATATAATATACGGACATGCAATAATATCTGAAATAGTCTTGTATCCCTCTATGTAATAAATATTTTATTAGAATAGAAAAATGCATACAGATAACCATAGGATACACACACAACTGGAAGTTTAAGGAGAAATTTTAAACTTTTCAATATGAAACAAGGTACTTGGTACATATCTCATGGAGATATATAACTAGAAATTAAATAATACACGGTAATAGCATGAAAATGGCAATACAGGAATGTGAACTGCAATTCTGTGAAACAAGAATAGAAAGATTCACCCTTTGTTGCAGGAAACAGAACTATATACTTACTAGTAACCCCTGTTTTCCATCTCCCACCCTCCCCCCTATTTGCAAGTGTCTGAAAACATCACTGGTTAGCCACATTGAAAAGCAACTAGCCATTTATAACTATATATTTACAGTATATACAGATCTTGCTTACTTCAACAGCTAGCACTATTTTCATCTGGATGTGATGCTGATCTATTTGAATGCATATCAAGGTATTTCTATAGTGTTATCATGATACCTTTAATCCTGGTTCTTCGTGTTTGTGTGCTCTCATAATCTCGTGAGATAAAAATGAAGGTCTTTAAGATATGCTTTATGTCACATGAACACTTGCTGTACCATGGATGTGTCCAACAGGCTGACTGGTCTAAATTCACAATGGTGAAAGTCGGATATACCAGGTTTAAGGTATTGCTATGAAAGAAAGCATGGATTTCACTGTAGCGAGCTTGAGAACCTCGATGTATTTTTAAAATTATAAGCTATAGTATTGCCATAAACTTACTAGAATTAGATGATAGCAATGGGGTGTATTAGAGTGCTGGACCAGGTGAAATAGTCTGAATGGATTAAAGAGCAGCTGGAAGGAGAATTATGAATGTATTATTGAATTTACAGCGCGTGCGGTGCGGCAGACAAGGTAATTTTGGGCTGCATATTTGGAAGCACCACACCACAAGGTAGGAAGATGGTAGCAGTTCCTTTTCATAAGGCCGTGGTGCAACTGCATTTCAGTAATGCTTACAAATGGGCACTTGTGTCAGTGAAACACACTGATAAGAGTTCAGAGAAGGGGGCAATAATGATCATAACTCGGTTATGAATAAAGGATCTGGCTACTGAATATAAGGTAAGGATGTGAGGAAATTACCTTAGAAGTGATTAAGAGGAAGGTCAAGTGCTGGAAAGAGTACGCAGATGTACGCTGGGATAGAAGAGAGCTTTCTTTGAAACGTGGCTGTGAGCTCATTTCTTAGAAGCAGTGGAAGCCCTGCCTCCAGACACCCCGATGTGGACTGTGCAAAACTAACATTAATACTGCGACTCCTCTAACTTTTAGCTTTGATTTCTTGCTAGATTTAGAATAACTTCTGTAAAAGGCAGCAAGCCACTGACACTGTCTTAAAGAACTGCCAAGTAGTTCATGTTTTCCACTGCTTGAAACTGCATGCTCTGTTCTCAGCTTTCATATGTAGAATGATGTTATCATAATACTGTAAAATATACTCCAAACAATTCATTGTCACTGTAAAAACTGAGTTTTTCGTAGAGCCAAGCTCTTCCTTGTAACTGATCACAGTGCCATTTCAACTCTCTTCTTACACTGTAGCTGTAGTACGTAATATGTAAACTCCTTTGGTTCAAGTATTAAGGCATTTCAGACTCCTTTTTAAAGGATTTGCTAAACTTTACATGGTATTTTTTAATTCATCCTACAGTGAAATAGAATTTAAAAACATGTCAGAAGAAAAACATGCATTAACCACTGCAGCTTCTTTGTTTTTTTAAGAAAAAGCACTTTTCTGTAATAACTGATTGATAATTTGTTTCTTCTAGCAAATGAAAATGCAGCATCACAACACTGAATTAAGAGTGAAGGAAAACACTGTCGATAAAATGCCAGATAGACTGTAGATGTTCAACGTTGATGGACCAGAGCCTCTTGCATCCATACCTGTGACAGATGAAAAAGGTCAGGATTAAATGAAAGCATGACTATCTGTTGTGTCAAATCATTACTCTTTTACTAGATACTAAGCAGAAAAAGCCTACTTTCATTGTTTATTTTTGATAACCCATGAAGATGTATAAATAGAAACACTACATATTTTTAAGCTACAGAAATGCACTGCAAAATATTTAAGCTATATCAATGGTCTTTACTGTCAAGATGACCACAAAAAAAGAGAAAAAGTAAAAAATGTTGTTTAATACCAATTTACATGGTAATGTACCAGTTCAGTAGAATGAAGTTTGTCATGCATAAGGGCAGGAAGACTGTTAATTGCTTTTCTTTTTAATACCTTATTACCATACTACATACACGCTTTCAATTTTTGTTCTCCTATCAATAAGGACTCAATTCCTGTAGAGAGAACCTGTGACAACTGCCTGGTGTCAGCTGCACATTTAATAATGCATCACTATGCAAAGGCAGAGACGTATCTCTGTATTGTGGGTGGTACAATGGAGGTTATGATAGTGGTTGAGGACTGAACACAAACACATGACAAAACAACAGCAGTTCAGCTTCAACGTACTAGCTAGTCTGGGAATCAGGATCTGATCACTGCTAGTGCCATCTCCACCTTCAGTTGTTGCTTTTACTTCTATAATGTAATCTTCATTAAACTGGAGCAGAAGTTCAGCTGTTGTTTTATCTGTGTTCAGCACATTCATATTATTCTGACTGCTTGTCCTGTACAGAACCTGCAACAAAAGCAAACAGCATCTTTAGAAAATCCATAGTGCAGTACTTCTTCCAGTAGGAGCTGGCATGCAATTTTTATTTATGTTTCTTGGATAAAAGATTTTGGTCTTAAAAAGGCATGAGGAGAGAAAAAGTCTAATTTCTGGTTAACATGACAGGGCACAGTTACGTTCAGTACTGAGAGGAGTAGTGAAAGAAGTGAACATGGATGAAAGTATTTTACTAACTTTAATCTGAAATGGCAGAATCTGTGATAGAATATTCTGCTGACTGTTGAGTATTGCCATCATGTACTGTTTTTTAAATTACCCCTCAATTTGGAGGCTGTCATTATCTAGATTAACTGATTATGCCAATGCATAGTATTGGAAAGAGAGAACTAGTCAGAATGCGAAAATTATGGAGCTGTGTTGGAAGATGTTCCACAAGTGCTAATTGAATTAGTCTGTCATTACTGTTAATTACAGAAAGTGTCCTGTTTTAAACACCAGGAGCTGCATTCAGTCAGAAGCCTCAAGCAAGAGCAGTATCAGCTTCTCTTCTGGTCTTAGATCTAGTGCACACTCCTGGCAGGGTTCTACAAACTTGACAAGCAGGTGAGTCGAGGGTTTCCCCATGCAGTGTGAAACTATAATGGCAACAGTGGCAAAAAATGCAAGGCCACTGGAATGACTTAATGATGATCCATCACCAATCCAGGATCCTGAATCCATCTAAATGACAGCAGCCTCTCAGTACCTTCCAGCTCTGTGCTACACGCTGCCACCCTCGGGCCGTGCTCCCTAATGCCATGCTGTGCTGAAAAAAGCTCTGAGGGACACAACCATCTGGCTGCCTTCCACAACGCCCGCGCTGCGGCTGCTCTGCTGCTTTCAATGTCATCTGTTGGATATTCTGCTTGACAAACCAGCTTTCTGTTAACTGCAATGCCCTTGCTTCTAGGGATAAAAAATGACACCCCTAAATGCTTTTACTTGGGTAAAATTAACCAGCATTATCAAAATTGAGCTTATTGGTGTGTTTTTTAGAGAAACCTGAGAATGTTGTGGGAGACAAAGTACGCAATTTGGAACTGTATGCTGGATTCCTTTTGTTTGGCCACCTCCTGTGAAACCAGGTAAGCTTTCAACATTTATTTCTTGACAGCACACCCCAGAACAATGCATAATCACATCTTCATGTAAACTTTTATACAGGTAAGTGTCACATGAGGGGTCCAGCTGTACACTGATTAAGAACTTTCTCAGCAATTCTCATAAGCATAAATGATGTATTTAAATACTTGTATGTTTGTGCACTGATCAGCTATGGAATAGATGTAGCAATGTAACTTTTAAGAGAGGGAGCAAGTCGCACAGAAAGAAGAAAAAGATTTAAGAATATCAATTTCATGCCTGCTGCTAAAAAAATCTACTTAGCCAGCAATAGAAAGCATCAGTGTACCATTACTGGGGAAAGGACTATGGTTTGTGAGACAGTCTGAATATGATTTTAATGTACAAAAATGAGACAGTTCTGAAATGTGCAAGGCAGGAAGTTTAGAGGATGCAAACAGATGAGGTAAGGAATGGAGTATTGCTTCCAGATTCTCCTATAGTTGTTTTTTAGGTTGTCTTTTTTTTTTTTTGCTTACCTTATACCCAGTCACCTCAGACTCATTCTCCATGGCTCTTACTTCTTCCCAGTTGAGGATGACTCTGGAGTCAGTAACGTTCCACACAACGTTTCCTGGTGGCTGACTGGGTGCTTTGAATACATAATAAAAGCATGACTGTAATTTAATCAGCATTAGTGATTTATCCTACAGTAGGAAATAACAGTTCAGGTAATTGATTGTCATTACATGTTGGATGTAAAAGCAAGTCGAATACAGCCTCGTCATGTGTACACTTTATGGTTCAGAGAATAAATTGGAAAAACAGAAGGAAAAGAAAACAACAGCAAATAAATGTTATTTCTGAAGTTGCATTATCTGTTGATGGCGTTTCATTAAACGCAGTCAAACAAAAGCATTTCTTAGGACACGGGTGATCAATTAAGCACATGCTCTAATGAAACCAATGATGATAACAGACATTTCCTATTTGTAGTACGTTTTCAAGAATAAGTAAACACTCCACAATAAATTTAGTCTTAGTGAATATTCAAACCAATGTGCTGTGCTGATTTACTTTAACATGTCTGAAATATAATAGCTGACAAGATTTTTTTGTTCTTCTCTTGAGGCATGATTTTGAAATGCAGTCTGTATGGTTTCACTAGTTGCAGTTGGAACAATTAATAGGCTTTAGCTAAGCAAATCTTTTGGGTTTTGTTTTTTTATTTTTATTTTTATTTTTATTTTTATTTTTTTGTGGCAGTGTTCATTAACAACCTGAGTTGTTTTTGAAGGGAGTGCTATGCTTGTGGCTGTATGCTTCAATGGAAAGGTGAAGTACAAACCTGTTCAAGATGCTTCAATGTGACTTCCCACAAAGTGGATCATGCTGCAAACCACTCAGCCATTAAAATATTTCTAAATGCGTTAAGGAAAACAATTTACTGTTGCTGTCACCTAGTGGAGGCTATTGCTGCTTAGGTGGACTGCTCCAAAGCTTTGATGCTGAAGGAATCCACTGTTAACAACTAACAGTGCTTTAAGAGTTTGTGCTGGCGCTCATGCTTGCGGCTTTTTTTTTTCCTTCCTTTTATTTTTAAGCTCATTTGCATAGGTAGTTCCATTAGCAGTCAGATCATGAAGCACCTGATTACAGAGCACAGCACTGTGTGGACACAAAATGTGAGGCTAAGATATAAAATAACTGAAGTCTAACAACTATTCAAAGATTTATTCTTCTGCAGTATTTGCCTTGTTCCATATACTAAATAGGATTCAACCTGATGCACTGATAGCTAATTTCTGTAAATGTAACAGAAGATTGTTTTTCTCCTGAGATTTGAATATTATAACAGATAAAACAGTTTACACACTCAGATATTAAAGCTGAATTTGAGAGAAATGAGTCACTCTCTTAAATCCAAAACAAAATATTGTCATCTAAAAAAATGAAGAATAATTACATAGAAACTGTAAGCCTCTATCCACCATCTGACTTACAGAACGGATTCAAAAGGCTCTACTTTGCTTCAGCTACCCAAATCTCCAATAATCTTCAAATTTGCAATAGACAATACCAAACTATTATGTCCAGTATGAAGTGTGCAAATAGCTACACTGATTTCTCTAGGACTCATTAGATGCTTAAAGTTAGTCACTCACACTAATATTTCTCTTAATTACAGCTGACAGACAGAACAGTTTGTTGTAAGACCTCCTGAACATGAAATAATAGCAATATCTCACCTTGTAAACTCAGGCAAAACCTCCACAATTAAGTGCAATTTTATACAACAAAATATCTACGACTAATTTGGGAAAACAACTAGTGGCAGAGACAAGTTGCAGACTATGAGGTCATTACAGTAATGGGAAGTTACTGTGTAATGTAATTAATGTATTTAAACCCTAGTAAATATAAATTAATTTGAGTGAGGTCATCTGTGCTTGCTTCTGAATATGAAGTTATTGTGAAATTACAGTTTCATAATATTGATGATACAACTCCTTTCAGCAGAAGGACATGAATGACTGTTCCAGGGAGGATAACATTTTATACAGATATAATTGTCTGTTCTTGTGAATCTGGAAGAAATACTTCAAAACTGATTACCCTGATTTTGAGTTGTATTTACAAAGCAAGAGCACATTAAATATATTAGAAAAATTAGTGCAGTCTTTGACAATCTGCTCTCCAGCTTAATTTCTCCTTTTTGTAATAGGAAAGGGGCCTCTTGTGCAACTTGATTAGGGGAGAACAATGGACGTGAATGATTATTCTGCATGAATAGTGTGAGGATGATTCAAATGCCATGCCCTGGAGAACTTAAAGATGTTCTAAAACCCTGAGAAATTCAATAATCTCTATTTTTCTTTCAAGTAACAGAATTTTTTCTTTTTCACAGAATCACAGAATTGCAGGGGTTGGAAGGGACCTCCAGAGATCATCGAGTCCAACCCCCCTGCCAAAGCAGGTTCCCTACAGCAGGTTACATTCCTTAAGTCACTAAAAGAATAATAAAGTTTTTATGCAGAAATGATCTTACCTCAGCTCCGTTGGCACGGATGAGTTTTAAGTACTCATTCTGCTAAAACAGCAGAGGGCAAAAACTTGAGGATCTATGCTTGATTTAGTTGCCCAGCTCTTCTATTCTTTATGAAGATTTAGGTCGCTTACGTGCATCGTGATTCCCACTACTGTGTCTATTCCTCACTGGCCTGCAAATGCTCACACACCATCACGTGCCTCCCCACTTTGTATCTGTGATACTTACGTGTCTTCTTTGTGGTAGCATTCACTGTGGCACTGAAGGGACCTGCTCCAGCACTGTTGTAGGCACGGACAGCTGTGTAGTATGCTAAGTTGCTCTTCAAACCTGTTATTCTTATTGAAGTTTCATTCCCTGCAGCTTTAACTCTGTTTGAAGATTCTTCTTTTCCTCCATTATTCCAGTACCTCACCTAGTAGATATAAAACAAAGCTACTTAAAATGTTGGATAAACATTCAATTCCCTGCATTGCATTTGAATCCTTCAGGTGCATATCCCTCAGCTGAAAAAGGTAGAAATATATTAAAGTTTCCAAAATGTGTACATTATTTCAACAAAATTTGCTCATCCATCTGCCTTTCATGCTTGCTGCCCTTTTGACTGCAGAAAAAGCAGAACTGAAACATTAGATTTTGCTCAAATTAAAAAATGACGACCAGAAGAAAATCACTGCTTCATCTACAAAGTAAACAAGTTAGACTTGTCTGGCATGAGCTATGTGTGTGAAGGCATTCTGGACTGTGGCGTTTTAGAACAAGAGGAGCATTTTAAATGATGTTACCTCATAGCCCAGTAGTCTTCCACTACTCATCTTCCAGGGAATGGCATTCCAGGAGACTTCGATGACAGAGGAGGACAGGCTTGTCACAGACACACCAGTGGGGGCTACAGTAGGCTCTGTAATTGGAAATCAGCGCTGGAGAGATGAGCAGCATAGGTGATGGTGCAAATAAATATGTTCATGTTCAAGTTGACCTCAGTTCTATCAACTGTTGCTATATTCATTCATAAAACATCTCACTAAACATATGCAGAAAATCACATACCTTCTTCAGCTGAAAAAACGGTGGTTATTGAACTGAATGGCCCTTCTCCTTTATTGTTATAGACACCAACTTTGACTTCATATGGTGAAAATGGCAAGATGCTTTCATTCCTGAAGACATATCTGGGCGTGTCAGGAGAGGTGACTACAGTCTGTATCCACGTTGTGGTGCCAAAGGGGCGAAAAGCGACGACGTATCCAAATCCTTCTCCATTTTGCAACTCCTCAGGGATGGGCTGTGAGAAAAGCAATCAGTGACAGAAGCCCATGATGTTACATACCACACTGGAAAAGCTTTGAAGGAAGAAAGCATCACTGTGATGTAATGCATGCGACTGTAAACTGGTTCTGGTCTGCATTTGGGGTCACTGCATCAACAAATAAAGTCTGGTGCAGTAGAGTGAAATGCTTTCATTTGAAACTATCTGCACATCAAGAAAAGAGCAACTCCCCCAAACATTTCTTGTTCTCCAGTAAGTACATTGCTTTAAGACACTTCAGTAAACATATCTTTTCAATTTCTGGTCACAATTCATAGCACATAAATAATACCAAAGAATTCATCACTATCTTCGTAAGGTATCTGTACCTTCCCCTGATGTGATTTGATTAAGTAACAACATAGAGTTGCTAATATCAGTAAGAAATAGCATGGTACCATTTTTTAACTCATTAACAATAGGATACATTAAAGTAGTATCTGATCTGTTAGCACATACATGGAGAGTTAATGATAGGAAAGCACAAACTGGGAAGCTGCACTGAGCTGTGTAACACTTTGGCTTAACCTTAGAGCAACAACCAACCCTTCCATTTCCCATCCCTCCCCGCCCCCTTTTGCCTTGACAACTGTTTGAGAGCATAAGTAATCACCTTAGACAAGCTAACTGAATTTCTTACTGATTGCAGTCTAACAGTAGCAAGTTAAAGAGGGAAGGCAAACGTGCATAGCTCACATTACAGAATGTTACCGAGCACATATACATCCTAGATGAGAAGCTGCTGCAGCCAGGAAAATTCATCTTTAAAGAAGCGTTTCAATGAAAACAACCATTCTCTGAAGAAAACTGCTTGCCAGAAAACTTACATCCCATGTTATGACCAGTTCAGACCTGCTGCCGCCTCCCCCACTGACTTCAGCTGGGGGAATTTCAGGAACTGTGAAAAAGAAACGTACAGCTGTCTATGCCGTGCCAATAGATGAGATGATATCACAAGTTAACCTCATTCTCTGGAGCTAACCCTCTAGTTTTCCTGTTTCTTTTGCCAATTGAGACAAGTGCTTTAGAACCTGCATGGGGTGGACAGGTTCTTTTTGAGCATTTGCAGAACCCTGTATGGTCTGCTTTGAATGTTTATGAGCATCTAAAAATCAGTGGCATGCTTCCAGTTTTCAGCAGGGCTAACTTACTTATCCCAAGTAACATCTGGGATTTCAATCAAGTCTTTCTGAGCAGAAAACTGTCAAAACTCATCTCTTCCCCGTTCATTAACATCTTCAGACTGTGCAGCACTGACTGAACAGAGTTTGCCATGCTAAAAACAGCTGAAATGTATTTGGATATGTGGACATAAATGTGTCCCAAAGCTAAGCACAAATACTAACAAACTAGTTACAGACTTTAACTTTTGATGACAATTCCAAGTTTAATTGAAATGAGCCAAAAACATGATTTTTTTTTTTTAAATATATTCAAGATGCTGAATTAAAGACAAATAGAAGAACCCACTAACCTGCCTCTTCAGTTCTTACTTTTTCTGAGGGTAAACTAGGTTCTCCACCTCCTATTTTGTTACTGGCAACTACACGAAATTCATATTCCACCCAAGGATTTAAATCCACCACTGTGGTTGTGAATGTATTTCCATCAATCACATCTGGAACTATTAATAAAAAAAAAAAATTAATTAAGAAGCTAGTGTATCCTGGCCAAGCCTATTTCACCAGAGCCTGTGACAAGAAATGTGTATTACCTGTGGTAACTCGCTGCCAGCCGACTGAAAAAGGTGTTCTTGCTTGTACAGTGTAAGCAGTCACTGGGCTGTGATTGTCTGTGCCTTCTTGCCAGGAGATCTGAGCTGTAGTATCAGTTACTTCATCCACCCTCACGTGTTCAGGGGGCCCAGGTGAGCCTAGGAAAAGATTGAAAAATAGGTGGTGGTCAGTAAAACCAGTACCCTGGAAATCACTAATACTGCAATAAGGATTCCCATTCTATTAAGAGAAGAAGATAACGTTTAGATTAGGATAAATATTTATTAACATTAATTATACTTGCATCTGATAATGTAATTCTGAAATAGGAACCCTGAACTATTACACAGATTACAGGTTTAGTTCACCAACCTCTGTTCAGCATGATTCCTCTTTCCATTCCACATTATCTTTTACATTGGTCCTTGATGTTCTCTTTTAATCTACTAATGTGTCTTTGTAGTCTGCCTACTTGTTATCTACAGCTGTTTTAGTCTATGAAGCACTGTAGCAATTCTTCCAGAACATCTGATCAGCACCACGAGCAACAATTCCATCAGGCAAATGTTCTGTTGCATTCTGGAAAAATCCTGATTCTGGGCAGCCTAGCAAAAATGCTGTTTCTGTCTTATCTGCACCAGCAAACAGGTGATATAACTAACAGTACAAAGGCAGTTATAAAATACCTGGTATATTTTGAAATACATTGAATAAATCTTAATTGCATCACGTTGATTTCTGGATTACTGCTTTTATTTTGCTATAAATGTAATCATAAACAATGAAAGCTATAGTTCATGCTTAGGTCCGCAAGCAATCTTGCTCAGGAAAAAAAAAAAAGGAAATAAAGAAATAACCCTGCATTTTATAATTTGAATTCCTGTGTGTCTCCAGGACAAAGCCCTTCAAACACTTTGGCAGCAGACGCCCATTTCCCAGGAAGGATGCTGGACCATGAAGTCACCTTTTAGCAGACACAACAACAACATCACAGCTGTCAGTACTGAACTCCACTCATCAGTGGCTTGAAGGACTGTCATAAGAAAAGATATTACGCCATGATTTATTGTATTCTTCAGTTTTTACTTTTTTTCCTGTGAAGAAGCAAGTTTCATCCAAAACCGAGCCTAACTTCAATGCAGAATCACGTAATTCAAGTCATAGGTGAACAGCTTTTGTAATCTGCACCATAAACTGTTTCTGCAATCTACAGCACACAACGGTAAGAAAACACAATTCATGGAAACTGAAGCTGAAATTTACCTCGTACTATAAGGTCAGCTGCAGATGCCACACTGTCTACTTCTGTCTTCACCATACAAACATATTTTCCACTGTGTTTCAGCTGGATGTTTCTAATCATCAAATCTCCTGATGCACTCTGTCAAAACACAAAGTTGTTAAATGAATTAGCATATTATTTAATATTCAGCTCACGTTTTGGAAGTGGAGAAATTATCACTCCGAATATATAAAGTTTAAGATAAACTAGATAAATAAACTTCATATTAAAGTTGTCCCAAAATTAAAGAGGCAGTGCAGCAGGCACAGACATTCAAAGAGTTAAAACAGGTAAGCAACAAAGCTGAACCTGGTCTGTTCTGAAGGGTTAAGGATAGAATTCAGATAGGTACAGTATGAGTCCCTGGGTCAGTGTGCTGCTGAGGGCTCCTCACTGAGCACCTCGTATCCCTGGCAGTTTGTCTGGGATTTCCTTCTGCCAAGTTCCTTTGCACTGTGAGCAGACTTGGATTTAAGCATTATACCTCTGCAGCTCTTTGGCCGACTGCCCTGATTTTAAGGTCCTACTTCTTTCTTTTTCATTATGCATTCAAACGTTGGTAATTTCTTTTCCTTTGTCCTCTCTCACGTTACAGCGTGTGGTTGATCAGAATCAAAGAAAGCATGCAAAAAGCTTGGGTGAGTGATAGCTGTAACTCTGCACTCTTACAGACTAGGCATTATTAGTTTTCTACATTACTGAAATAGAGCACTCAATCCTAAACTTCTGGTAGCCAGTTTGCTTCAAAACCTCCCCATGTGCCAGCTGAATGACTGCCTCAGCCCTGTTCACATCAAAGCTTCCAGGTGAAAAATCTGTCAGATTTCCATTTTTTTCCCCTCTTTCTAATTTTCTGGAGCAGCGGTTTCAGTTGAGGACAGAACCGTACGTCCTTTGCAGGTATTCACAGCGCTCCAACCACGACTGATTCTTGGGAACTCAGTGATTTGGGAGAAAGGGAAGACATGATTGCTGTGATCTCCAAAAAACAGAAGTTAACAATCTTCCCAACCCTCTGCCTTTAGCAGTTAATTATTTTTTATGCTCACACAAATTGTTTCCGCTTGGATCCTTAGATTTCAAGAAGGATTTGTTTTCATGAAGACTGCCGTCATCTCAGATAAATCTCTAACTATATGCAAATCAGCTGTGCCCTTTTGTCACAAGTATTTCTTTTTGAGCTTGAGTTTCATTCACTCATGTCAACACCTGCAATTAATGGGTAGGATGAGCATTAGGAAGTCTCACGTAGAAGCTGAAAAAAACTTTGCCTGCTTCCCTTCCAAGTGTGATAATATAAATAAAATGCCAGGTCTTCTTTAAAAACAAGGATGTAAGCATTTAGAGGACAATCCAGCACTGGTTGCCTCCAGTACCCTAAAAGTTAACATGAAGGCAATCTAAAATCCATCTAACTTGATTGGAAGTGGATATTCAGGAAACGACCAGCAACAACGGATGCACACAAAGCAAATCATGTTCTACATGAACTAATTGTAGCAAACTGGATTTAAATAAACCATCTAAGCAGAGGGACCATCAAATAGAATAATTTTACTGAAACATAAAGCTCTGAAATATTAACACCAAATTTAAACTACTTGTGGGTGCTTTGCAGGAGCATCCTGAAGTACTGAGGGGAAGATGTGCAGCAGCAAAAAGCTCCAACACAGAAGACACTCAGCTCCCATGGCTCTGCTGACCATCAGCAGTGCCCACATTCTTGCCTAGCCAGATTAAATCACTGTCAGTGTGGACAAGTCCAGGTGACAGTAAGGCCACTTTCCTTTCTCAATGCTACACAGAATAGCAATAAGCAGAAGTGCACACACAGTATAAACATCTTGCTGGAATAGCTTTTGCTTTTCCAGACTGCATGATGATTTCAGCCATTGCTGGCCTGTATGAATATGCAGGTGATACCA